CAGTACCTGTGAGATTACCGTCCGGGGCTTTCCAGCAGCAGAAAGATACTTGCCAAGTAGAACAAGCCCAGCAGAGGGCCAGAGTCGGAAGCACACAAGCTCAGAGGAAGGACTGGGCATGCAGGAAATGTGCTGCAATGTTGCATCAACGGTGGGACACTTTGTGGAGGGGGAAGGTGATCTTACGTTACAGCAAAACTGGTTTAATTTGCTTTCTTACACTCACTTCCTACACTGACTTCCATACCCAGATATTCAGAAGCACCAAGACATGTGTCCAAGTTATCTCTTAGACATGCAGGCACCAAAACATGCATGCCCTAATAGTCTTGTAAGGCTTCCTTGCAGAAATATTTAAAACAAGCGATGCCAGCTATTAAGTGCTGCTCAGGTTTCCTGGGATATATTACACCATCTTTTGTGTCCCGAGAAGCTGCCTGCAGGTGTTCTGGGAGCTCAATGACCGGCTAATCTGGTTCCAACAACATAAGCCATTTTATATCATTTTTTTTTCTGCCATTCTTTCTGGTGCTTCCACACCCATTTCTATTCTTTCCTCATTAATAGCAATCTTAATGTTTCTGTTACAGTCCTCTGCAATACAACTGGGTTTGTTCAGACTGAAAAGAGGGCCAAAGTTATCTACTGATAGTTACAGAGTAAGAGAACTGGACTTTTTTTCTTTTTTTTTGACTTTTTGGGTTTTTTTTGTGGGTGCACCACAGTGGTGGGACAAGAGACAATTATCACAAGCCACGATAAAGGAAATTAATATATATATAAAAAATCTTCATGGTGACAATGGTCAAATACTAGGACAGTTTGTCTAGACAGATTGTGGAATCAGCATTCCTGGAGCCATAGAAAATTCAACAAGCAAAGGCCCTGAGCAACCTGATATAACTTCAAAAGTAGCTTTATAGGTGGAAGGAGAGGTGATGACAGGGTTGGACTCAGATGACCCCCAGAGGTCCCTTCCAACTTAATTGCGCTGTGATTCCATAGGTCCGTTTGAGTCTTCAAGGATTGCAAACTAGTTGTACATATATGAACTTTTCTTCACTCTTTCTTCTTTCCTTGGAAACACCTACATTTTACATGTTTTTGTCAATCAGACTGACCATTCTCAAAATCAGTAGAAATGATATATGTGCTTTTAAATGAACATGTGAATGGCACACAAGCATGGGCAAGTCTGTACAAAAGCACTGTGATGGTGAATGTTGGGAATGACAAACTGCTGTTGCACCTCCTGAAGTCTGTGGAAATAGGGCACATACAATTTGGCCACCTTCCAGAGCGTCGGGTGGAGGTTTACATCATCATGTGTTTGCTTCCCTTCATAATGAGGTCAGTGGGAGTGTCTGCGTTCAGGAACAGTTCGACAACAGCAGTGAGACAACTCAACAGCTTGGTGCCACCAAAAGCGGTTGTATTACTCCTTTCTCACTGTTGTAGGGTTGTCTCCAGCGGTTTTTAGGTACTCTTTGTTGAGCCGATTTAATTCATGGATCTGGCAGAATACTTCTTTTGAGAAACAGTGTATGCCAAGTTAGTGAATTAAACTGGCTTGGTGAGGTGTCAGAGCTGGTGCCAGAGCTACCACAGGAGAGCAACAGTTACATATTAAGTAGAGGGAAGGATTCCTTGAGTAGCAAGTAGTTGGTAGATCTACCTAGCTACAGCAGCAAACTGAAGCCAGGGAAGAAAGTGGCATACTTAACCATATTCCTCCCACTCAAGGCTATGGGAAATGTTCCCCTGAGATATACAAGGCCACGCTGTGTGAGTACCTTCTTCTGAATTAGGGAGGTCTGAAAACAAAATTTTCACTCAAATTGCCAAAAGTACAGCAGAGCTGGATGCAGCCCAGGCACATATACTACTCCAGTTTGGCATAAAGCCACTCAGCCACAGTGAAGTTGTGCCAGCCACTTGCTCCAGACAGCAGTTGGGAATCCCATAGAGGCCAACAAGACTAGTCACACTGTCTCCTTTCTGCTCTGGATGCTGCTGGAGAAAAATTGTTCCAGGGAGGGATGCTGATCTTTCAGACCTCATGGGCAGTATCCTCTTTAAAGACCACAGGTCAGGTCTCCTTAATTCTGTAAGAATGGGAGATGAGTCAGGGAGGATAAAACATAGTCTCTTTTCTGGGTATGGGGAGACTGGGAAAAGATGGGGTGTGCATATCTTCCTGGTGACTGTGAACAATGAGGCAGAATAGCAAACATTCAGATTTCCTTCTGTTTCCTGTCTTTATACATAGTTAATGACTGCCCCTGTGATGGGGGAAGATGGGCAGGCCTTTCTCTGCCTTAACCGCAGTAGATCACAGAGGGCAGCAGAGCTATCTGTGTTCCTTCTTGTTGGGCTGTGACAAGAGGCGATAGAGTAGCCCAGGGCCCCATGTATTGGGGGAGGGAGAGTGTATGTGTGTCGGGGTGCAAGCAGCAGTCCCACATACTGAAGCAAAAAGGGATGGGGGCCAAGGTATCTCTGAGCACAATATGGTGGCGGGCACCATGAGATACAACAGGTCTTCTGCAAAGGGTGAGGTGGCTTTAACAGTAAGGGGCAAAGCTTATGATGTACTGGGGAAAAAAAAAAAAAAAGTGCAAAATTCCCTGCACCGAAGGGAGGAGAACGTGGGTAGGAATCCAGGGCAGACATAGCTGTATCAAGGACAGTTCAGGGGGTGAGCAGAGGCACCCACACATGCAGGGCAGTAGCAGGAGGCAGTGCCCAGCACCCAGGCACAGAAGCCTTGGGGAGGGCCCCGGCGGGTCGGCTCAGGCAGCGCAGGGGTGCTGCAGGGCCGCAGTGCTGTGAAAGGGAGGAGGGGAAGGAGGCGGCACCGCTGTGGGCAGCAGATCCAGCCGGGGCCGGTTTGAGCCGGTCTGCACCAGTTGCGCTGCTGGAACGAGACCGCAGCTGCTGAGGCGGCCTCTTGCA